ATAATTTTGGGACGTGGGTTGTGGTGTATCAGGATTGATGAGTACCGCTTAAACATAAAGTTCAGTAATATTTTCTATAAAATATTGTTATTATTCATTGCATAATTTTGTATTGAAGAACCGATTGTACATGTTTAAGTATTAATAAATGTAATAAAATACTGAGTAATACGTCATGTTCCTAGTACCTATATTTAAATAGAAGTGTTATAACATCGTTTGGTTACAATTATTACGTAATATTGTAATGTGCTTGTAAAATCTAGAACTTGCAAAGTAGCTCGTTTCAATAATTTTCAAYGAATATTTTTTTTTCCTATTGTATAATATACTATACTCATATAATACGACAATACGTGTATATGTTCTAAATAAGTTTTTGATTCAACATAATATAATATGTATTTTCGAATGAATTAATTTTATCTTAATGAGTTTTTAGACGTGTTACTTATTTTTTAACATATATATTTAACAACGAATTGGGAAAAACATAACAGCTGCAACATCATCATTCATCACCACTTCTATACACTTTAAATGTGTGTATACAATAATTAATGTTCAGATAAATTATATTTCTTCCGAATATAAACACTAAAAAACATATTATTACCTATATAAAAATAATAACTCAATATGTATTGAATAGTATCATTAAGATTTATATATAGCTGTCTTCGAACAGTATTATAAAACATAGTTTTTCAAAAATACAAAAATGTTATATAATTATAATCATAGTTCATAAGAGTTAATAGTTAATATGCATTAAAAGATAAGTCAATAAAGCATTATAAGTATAATATAAGCGCGCATTTAATGCGAAATATCTATAAAACTTGATAAAAAATTAAACTGTAAGCTGTATATAATATATTTTAAAGTTAATAAATAAAACTTATTCTACTTTTCAGTATCCCAAGGGCTTGTATTGAAATTTTAATCGAAATAACCATACATAAATAGTTTGAACTATATTTTTCTCCACCAGTAATAAAACTTTTATATTGGAATTTAGCAAATAATACTTATTACTTGATACTCGAGTGAAACRGGATATATTTTTGAAACGTAATAAAAGATGCTTTTCTATTACATTTMTAAATTACAACAGTTACGTTAAGCCGTTGAGTTTCTATTGTTTAATATTGATAAAATATCGTTTAAGTATGTTTTTCAAATTTTATTTTGCTATTAATATTAGGTACACATTATTATCCACGACCAATAATGCTACTCTTTTGCGATTAATTTTATAAAATATATATGCATACATCATATATTATATACACATAAATGAAAAATGATTTATTAAACTGTTGTTATATAGATGCATAATAATTTATTAATATATGACATTGATAATATACATAATAAACATAATATAATTTGTGCTTTGATGTTTTTTTTTTTAACGTCAAAATGTAGATTGAATATTTAACAATGAATTCAGAACAAATAGTTATTTATTCGTCGAGAATTGTCGATGTTGACTAATGATTACAATACAAGTTTAAAAAAAAAATTGTAAAATTGTAGAATTGTAGAATTTATAATTTATATCAACAGCATTTAGAAATAACTTAACGAGTAAAAGTATAGTGAAATTGTGAGTATCATTTGTATTTTATTTTAACCGTTTGCTCTATATAATCTTTAGGACAATGTACGTAAGTCATTTTCCAAATAATTTCATTATGTGTCACGAATTCGGGAAATTTGCATGTCAATGTGTTTTTAGACCTTTTAAGAAGTTTCTCTTTGAACATTATATTAAGGGACGAAAATCGTATTTGAAAGGGTTTTTGATAGTGTTGTACAAAATAAATAGCCACCGTAACTAGAACTACGGTGGAACGAACAAAAAAGTTTGGCCCGCGACTCACGTCCAAATTGCACATGAAGTTAGTTACGACAGAAAAAAATGGCGAAAATTAATTTCCTAAGGCAGAAACTTATCCGTCGACAACAGTCTAGTTGGTAACACGTATAAATTGCACGTGTACGTGTCACGTGCACAGCTTCGAACTTCTCCGGGTGGAAAGACGCGTGAGTGTGGGTGCGTTCGGRGAGTGATGCGGTGGCGGGGAGTGGAGGGGTGTCGTCGTGTAGAAAAGCGCGTAAGTCGACTGTAATTGCAATTTCATAACACCCCCAAAAAACGGCCAAACCCAAACCCAACCGGCGAAACGCTCGTATATAAATTACATAATAATTTTTGTGACGGGTGCTATACCTTGTCGTCGAGCACTTATATGATTTGCATCTATGTAAGGAATGAAGATTTATTATTACCCAGGAGAGGCGTTTTCTCTTCTTTTTCTCCTCGAAAATAACACTTATCGTTAACTGCACAACACGGGAAATTAAACACACGACGGAGGTAACTTACTAGAAGGTGTATCAACACCTGCGATGACCCTTAACACGTTGCTCTCTCTAGCTATAATATAATATTGTCCCTATACCCTCTATAGATACGTGATAGTTAGATGACACGCAAAATTCGTTTTATGTAAGCACACTGCGTAAAAATATTACGGTTACCTATTRTTTTCCTATATCATAATATTATTACTGTGCGTGAAAATTGTAAGCGTTTCGCTCAGTTCGGTTGCAGTTTTTGTWAWTWWTTWARKYMAAAWKRAWWAAAAAAAATAACATAATTATTAATGATTATTATATCAGCTAATATACATATTGTTTATGCCTTGGTGGATTTACGTTGTGCACAAATGTCGGGTGAGATGTATTAATACACGATTTGTGCAGCGAATAAGTAAAAATGATAATATTATACATTGCGTGCGCAATGTGTTTGTATATGTAAGTATTTAATAATAATATATATTGTATGGTATTAGGTRCCGTAACATAAAACGATACAATGTACAAACTGCTTAAATAATGTCCTTAATGAAAGGCGTTCGTTGTTTTTTTTATAAGCGAAAATTGGATGTCTTTATGCGCACCGATTAATAAGGCGCGTACGGCGGTCGTGTAATACCATAAATAACTTGCCGTTATTTAGGTGCAGCTAATACCGCGTGATTTCGCTCGTTTATTAGAAACACTAATACGGCGTGTATATACTGAAATTACGACGATATATCTTTATTATGCGTTACTACGCTTGATAAGTAATAATGCCGTTATAGGGAGGTATATCTTATGTACCTACGCACAACTGACTTCGATATCAAGCGACGTTAAATAAAAGTATTATGGTCGACACGTTTAAACACGACTAAGCCATGATGTGGATATTGAATTTTCAGACGCAATCATACTTTATGATGATCCTATAGGTCCTAAATATATCCTGAGTTAGGTCTGTGTATTGGAGTTGTATATATATACACGTCATCATGCAACCGGTCGCAACAGATTTCGAATGAATCGGTATGATCCCTATCGATCGCGGTCTCGAATCATTTTTTCACAATAATTCTCGTCGATTTATTATACGACAGTTGAACGTGTTAATGTTATGCCGAATATCTCAATGTARTTATAGGTATAATGTATTTATATATATATATACATAAAAAACGTATACGTCTTACAAAATGTATCTATACACAATATTTTAATATAACTACGACGGTGAAGAAAATTATTATAATAATAATGATGATTATGATGATGATGATTTTGTCATTATTTTCTATTTAGTCCCTTTGACACTCCTATAACACGCTGAGTAGGTACTCTGTGAATCTCGAAGCTCTTTATATTAAGTGCCGTCGGCCACATCCGCCGCATAATATCGTTTATAAAGGTATACCTAACTATACTCGAGAAAAACGGGTGTACCTACATATTATTATACACAAGTGCTCGAGGAGGATATAATRATATAACTTCCACTTTCGGTATAATATTATATAAACGACTATCGTAATGTCCGCAAAAACACATTATATAGTACTTATAGTACTTTATGCGTATAATACATCCACCACTCTGTACAGTAATAATTTAATAATATTGAWGGTTAAGAGTAGTGGCTAAATATATTATATATAAACTATCGAACTTCGGGAGACATAGTTCGTTCGGTTGACAGGTTTTCAGGAGCGTCGTTTGTTTTCAGTGATGTGCGGGTATGGAAAGTAGAAAAAAACTAATATTTTTTGTCGAAAACCACACTACATATTAATATCATATATATATATATATATATATATATATGGTACCACGTATATATTATGGTATGTAGCCTCTTGGAGAATCCGCTACCGACCACTAGAAAGAGTATATGAGTAGAGAAGCTCCTCTGTCAACGACAGACAACCGCATACTTCTCTCTCACTGTGTCTGTATCTATATGTTTCCCTCTCTAGTGGCTGAGCGAGTGTTTTTTTTTTCATTATTATTTTACCCCACTCGTCCAAAAACAAACTGCCTGTCACGTTTTCGAGAGATGCCATTCGGTCCTTATTTTTCGCTTACCCTACCGACACCGCGGATGTACGGTGGCCGGCGGGGGTATACTATTAACACAATTTATGGTAACGTTCCCTCGGTGCAGAAACTAATATGTTTCTGAAAATTAATTGAAATAATTAATTGCCAACCCCCTTAGACGACGACGTAAATGCAGCAGCGATCCACGCGATATAAAACGTTTATAAATGATTACGATTCAAAACCGAAAAATATGAACGAAACTGCCGGCGCCACTACCATCACCGCCAATAATAAGTGTATAATAATATTATCGAGTCGTATAACAAATTATAACACAATACTATTATTTATACCACTATTATATACCCACGGCGTCGGGCGTATGCAAATAAAATAAAATAATTCCCATACAATATATAATATTGTCGTCTAACGTGCAGCAACGTCCCCACTATACAATAGCAGCTACATGTTATTATAATACATAATTTACTGCATAATATATACTATATTATTTACCATTTATGTAAAAGGATCTAAAGTGGTTGCAATTCTAAACCGTTTCAATTTTTTATGTGTTACAGTGGAAATCTGTTACGGAACAACAAAAATTATGACGAAGCAATTTCTAGCTACARGTCGGCGATCAATTTCAGACCTACATTAGCGTGTAAATATATAATCTGCAGTATTAAAATAATGTTTCACATTTTGTTTTCGATTTAACTTCAACAGTTAATTACCGTATAAATTAATACACATAAACGGTTGCAATAATTTGTATATAACACAAATAGTTGGTRTAACTACTATTTCAATCATTTATTTAATCATTGATTACGTTTAAATGTGTTTATCGCAGTGGCGTATCTGAGTCTGGGCGATTGTTTGGCAGCTACTAATCGGTACACCGAAGCCGAGGCGGTCTTGAACAAATGCCTTTATCTGGACGGTTCCAGAGTGAAAGACATTAGGTCACACGTGACTGCTAAAAAGTCATGTGTGCTTCGGTTGGGCAGAATGTTTGCKACAGTTGGAAAACACCAGGAAGCAGTAAAAGTTTTCAAATCGGCCATCAAATCTGACGGGTCTTCGTCGCAGGTAAATCATTTTTACATTAATACTATATTATATAACAAGGGTGACAAATTTGCAGCTCGTATATTATTTACAAAAAACACAAAAAAAATGTTCGTATACATTAATAAAAAAAAAAAAATGTTTTTATTGTATAGATATAATTCTTAATTTGATATGTTTATCGGCTGTTAACTGTCTTTATTATTTTGGTGTGATAAAAGTACAGATTATATCAAATTATTATTATATTTTTTTTTACATAATAATGTATACAATCTGTACAATTATGCACAATTAGCATATTTGATAAGGGTTACATATAATACATGAGTACATGAGTAAGAAGCCACCCACTAATGGCACTTGACTGGAGGACAAATTATTTAAAATTATAAAATATATTTACGAATATTTTGGCTCTTATTGATTTCATTGAATTTATACCTATACGCTATACATAATATGTGACTCGCGATCATATTCATGCTGGCCGCCCCTGTTATATAATATATATTATAAAGACCACTGACTGCAGTTAAGACTGACTAACCACTGACTGCWGTTTTATAACACAATATATCAACGAAATGGACACGATAGCCTTAAATAATTACCAATAATGTGTTTTCTATAACATATAGAACCCACTTACAGTTATCGACACAAAAAATAATACCACTCGTACTTAAAGATATTAGATATACGCGATAACGAATTACTACGATTTGGCATGGGAAACAGCAGTTAAGACTTAAAATATAGACGTTTCTGACGCCGGAAAATAAAATATTAAATCGATAAATACGATACTATATGACGATTAGTTTAGAATTATTCTGACGGGGAATAAGATATAAACTTTATGATCAAGTCGGAACATTTCACTTGCAGGTACACTATTTATCTTTAATATGTATTATTATATTTACTACCTATTGGAAACTCGATATTTTCTTTCAGATGGGAGTGTTAAAAAATGTATAGTAATCAACCGTATATAAAAATAACCTATACACACAATAGTTATATACATATATATATTTATATACATATACGCGTATAATATATTTACCATTCCAGACGATAACCTGTGTATTGAATTACGGCGCCGATGTCATTTTTATTTTTAAAGCGTACCTATATTCGAATAACAAGTGTTAATAAAAAAACTCGCCGTAATTTAATACATCCTCGTCTATCTAATATATATATTTATACGCGTATTATATACATATAGAACATAGATAAATAATAGGGGTCGCCGTTCTGCATATATCCGATATCTCAATAGTTATATACTAAAGCAGTTTAATAAACGTCATAAATAACGAGAATCCGCCAAGAAAAAAATCTMTTTGTATAAAACTTAATATAATATATTTGACGGAATAGCTCTAGTTATAGTGAATACCAGCCTTCCGGGTGTCCTCAGTGTCACCTATGTCCTTTAATATACTCACGCCTAAATCCGTACACCAAATAGAATAATAATATTACATTGCAGGTACAATAATAACAATAAAGACAATTAAAATAAAATGTCACGCACTAATGCTCTATATTGGTTATAAGTTCGAATATATTATTATTAATTATCATATTATATATTCACGTCCCGAATAACGTTATATTAATATTTATATGGAGTGATTCACCATCATGCATGCTCGCCCCAATTGATTCATTTAATAATTTATACAAATTATATATTTTGAAATTTTTTAACTTAAAAACCATATTTTCAAATTCGTGATTTTTGGTGTGTCTTGTGGCAATACAAATTTCTGTTTTTCAAACAAGAACCTTAATTTTAATTTTTACAAAATATTTATATTAAGTACCTATATCAAAAAAAAAAAAAAACTACCATGAATTTTAATTTTGATATGTAAACATTTTCAGAAAACATAATTCATGTATTTATTTATTTTCAAGTTAGTACAWAAAAAATCTGAAGGATTTTGAATAACTGCATTATTGAAGAGGAAAAAKGAGGTGTGCATGAATGATGCTTCGTGATACAACTTATATATTGTAGTTTATTGTTACCTACTTAAGCTTTTCGCAAGGGTATCTTTCTTCACTCTGGCWCTTTTAAAAGGTTATAACTTCGACGGTATAATATAAGACGTATAACTGCAATAAATGTCGAGACAATTGCCGGCCATAATATAGACGTCAACGAGGGTGCAGCGARTTCTCATTATACATGCCACCAGTTTTTTGAATATAGAAAGGCGGACTCACACGCGCGACGTGCTCGCACGTACAACAATCGTACGCCCGCACGCACAAAACACACATAAATACACGCCTACGCGTTTACGTCACTGTCGTAATGCTATATTGTACATGTATTGCAGTGCGAAGACTCTGCAGACATTTTAATTTATATCGCGATACGACCATAGACTTCAGTGACTTCAGAGTGTGTGTGTGTGTGTGTGTGTGT